AGCGCCTTTTTTTCTGCTGATTTAGCATCGGTTCCCACCTGCCTAATCAATGTGTGCTGTTAAGTTAAAAAAAAAATTCTGGTTGCTTGGCGGATTCCCAGCCGCGCCCCTGCAGAACGACTCCACCACAGAGAGACCAATGATGGGCAGGTCCTTGCAAAACAGAGGAAGCACAAGAAAAAACAGAACGTGCTTTGAACGCTTATTCCTAATCTGCAGGGGAAAATGCTTATCGGGTTTCTTGCGCCAAGGTCTTTGTTCAGTGAGCAGATCTGGCTTGTGGATCTCCGATTTGAGTGGCAGATAAGATCCCTTCACTGACTCGGGATGCCTTGGGACCGCAAATCCCAGAATTCCCTAGCGCTGTGGCGATGATGGAAGCTGCAGCTTCCCAAGGCCTCTGGAAGGAGGACATGGGGAAGCCAAACCCTTGCAAAGTTTTGTGCCTGCTGGTTGTCTATGGAGAGTCTCAGCCATGCAGATCATAGTTGTCCCAAAGGTGCTTTTTCAAGAGGCAACTGGACTTTCTTGGGTTTTTTTCTTTCTTTTCCTTGAAGACATTTCACTTCTCATCCAAGAAGCTTCTTCAGCTCTGACAAGATGGTGGGGAATGGAAAGATTTATATATATGTCTTAATGTATTTTCTATTCTTCCTGTTGTCGTCCTCCTTTATTTCCAATTTCCTTATTCTCTAGCCATTGGTAAAATGCTCTTGATGCTCAGCAAAACTCTTGGGGATGCCATCTCTGCTGGACAGCAGCCTCTCCAATCTTCTCCACCAGAACAGAAATGGTTCCTTGTGAGATTTAAAATGTGAGAATCAGGGATAATGCAGTTGAGTAGTTTTCTTCTCCCTTATCTGGCACAGAGACCAATTGAAGCCCGTGGAATCTACTTCTGGGTAGACACACTTAACATTGCCTTGCGTGACAAATTCAAGCAGAAACGTTTTTGTCAAGCGACTTGGTAGAGAAAAGGGACGTGGTTTTGGAAAGCTGCTTGTTAGGGAAGCTTCTTTGCCTCAGTCGGTTTCCCATCTTAGCAACAGCACTAGCAATAGGGTTTAGACTTATAGACCGTTTCATGGGGCTTTACAGCCCTCTCTAAGCCTCTTGCCCCCAACAATGTGGGTCCTCATTTACTGACCTCAGAAGGATGCAAGGCTGAGTCAACCTTGAGACAGTCAGGCTCGAACTGCTGGCTGTGGGCAGAGTCAGCCTACAATACAGCATTCTAACCACTAAGCCATCATGGATGGGTGGGTAGGATGGAAGGATGGATGGATGGATGGATGGATGGATGGATGGATGGAAGGAAGGAAGGAAGGAAGGAAGGAAGGAAGGAAGGAAGGAAGGAGGGAGGGAAGAAAGGGCAATAGCACTTAAACTTATATACCGCTTCACAGTGCTTTACAGTGCCTCTCTAAGCAGTTTACAGAGTCAGCATATTGCCTCCAAAAATCTGGATCCTCATTTTACTGACCTCGGAAGTCTGAGTCACACTTGAGATGGTCATGATCAAACAGGAAGGAAGGAAGGAAGGAAGGAAGGAAGGAAGGAAGGNAATGTGAATTCCTCTCATTCACATTCAGCAACGCCTGGCAAACAGTCTTTCAAAGGTGGATTTATGAGCACAGACCTTATCTAGCTTGGAAAGCTGCCATGTCAATATTTTCCAAACATAGGGCTGTGAAAGGAAAGACTGGGCACAGAGTCTCTCTGAGATTCACGGACAGATCTTCACACTCCTGAAACGAACTAATAAACGAATTAACCAATTCTTTCCTGCAAAAGCCCACTCACCTTTCACTCTGCTTTTATTTCCTCTGGGAGGGGCCATTTACCGTCCACCTGTGGCTTCACTCCCAAGTCAACCCCTGTTCCTTAGCTGTTCTGTTATTCTGGCAGCTCTGCGCATGCGCACACTGGGAACAGGCTCCAACTGTTCTGCCTCACTGATATCTGACTCTGAAGGCAGCTGATAACTGTCAGAGAGGTCTGGCGCCCTCTTCTGCCTCCGACATAGAGCCCACATCAGAGTCTTCCCCAGACTCCAGGACTGGCCCATCTTCCTCCCCAACCTCCTCACTGTCCGAATCTGCTGCCAGCTCCGTGAGCAGGTCAGAACAGTAACTTCGAACAGCCTCTAAATGAACGAAGTCGAGGATTTCCTGTACTAACTGGAGCCACTGGAAATGGTGGCTTAGCAGCCTTTTGCCTAACTTTGACTGGCCGTTGAAATCTACAAATTGTGTTTTTGGCTTGCGGGGAGCATCTCCCTCCTTCCTTCTATTTGTAAAGTATTTGAAACTTATTTGTAACCTATTTGTAATATATAGACCTATGGAAAAAGACCCCTTCTCGGCTTCTTATCAGCTTTAATTATAGAGTCAAGTTTTTCTTACCTCGGACGTCTGCTAACAAACGGGCAGGGGGGGGAGGGGGCAATTTGCCTCTGGCGAGTATTCCTTATTGGGAAAAAAATACTTTTGCCACCACCCTGGTACTAATAAATCACCGAGCAGACATTTTATTGGGCGTTCCAAACCTTTCCTTTTGATCAGCTCAACAAAAAATGATGCATATGAGGGCAGGGTTGTTTATCTCAAAACTGCCAAAGTTCTAAGATTTTGTTTCTTTTTTTAAATTGCTGGGTCTTGCAGAGATCAACTCCACCCAGCCATGAATTTTGGAGACCTCCCAACGAGGGAGGATTTTGTGTTCATGCGTCCTTAAATGTGACCTGAGGGAAATCATTGTGCGCTGAGAGAAGGAAAATGGGGAAATGTTCTGCTTTTCACTGTATTTTGCTCACTTGATGGCTGTTCCCCTGGCTTGGTAAATAGTTTGCAAGGCTACGTCAGGGGTGTCAAAGTTCATTTCATTGAGGGCTGCATCAGGGTTGGGTTTGACTTGGGGGGTGGGTGGGCAGGGGGCATGGGCAGCTCAACGTCACTCGTGTCGGGGGCACCTGTGGTAGCCAAGTGCTAAGGCAGGACTTCTCTGAGACCCTTCCTCACTCTCATTATAATCTCCTTCCTTCCTTCTTTCCTTCCTTCCTTCCTTTCCTTCCTTCTTTCCTTCCTTCTTTCCTTCCTTTCCTTCTTTCCTTCCTTCCTTTCCTTCCTTCCTTCCTTCCTTCCCNCACAAACATACACAGACACAGGTTTTATTGTACAGGCAGTCCTCGACTTATGGCCACAGCTGAGGCCAAAGTCACTGCAGTTGTTCAGTTGGGTCACACGGTCGCTAAATGGATCAGGCTTCCCCATTGACTTTGCTTGTCAGAAGGTCGCAAAAGGGGATCGCATGAACTTAGGATACTGCGACTGTCAATAAATATGTGTCAGTTGTCCACCATCCAAATGTAAATCACTTCACCATGGGGATGATGCAACGGTGCAAAAAATGGTCATAAGTCACTTTTTTCAATGCCGTTGTAACTTCGGATGGTCACTAAGTGAACTGTTGTAAGTCGAGGACTCCCTGTACACCACCCAGGCTCCCTCCTGCTGATCTCCTTGGTTCCATCAATTCACACCTATGATTTAGATTCTTCTCTCTACATATTGCAAGGGTGATTGGGATGTTGGCAGCTTTTTAATGGGATGCTCAGCCAGGGACACACATCAGTGTAGCCAGAACCTTATCAAGGTAGCCCTCAACTTAGGGCTTCACTTAGTGACCGTTCAAAGTTACAACGGCATTGAAAAAAGTGACTTAGGACCTTTGCAACCTCCCCATGGTCACGTGATCAAAATTCAGACGCTTGGCAACTGACTCATATTTATGACGGTTGCAGTGTCCTGGGGCCCTGTGATCTATTCTATTCCATTCTATTCTATTCTATTCTATTCTATTCTATTCTTTCATATTTCTGCTCTACTCTATTCTATTCTCATTTCATCTTCTCTTCTCTTCCTTTCCCTTCCCTTCCATTTTCTATACCATTCTGTTTCTATTTCTATTCTATTGTATTCTATTCTTTCATATTTCTATTCTACTCTACCCTACCCTACCCTACCCTACCCTATTCTACTCTATTCTATTCTTATTTCATATTCTCTTCTCTTTCTTTCCCTTCCCTTCCCTTCCATTTTCTATTCCAATCTGTTTCTATTTCTATTTCTAGTCTAGTTCTAATTCCTTTTCTTTCCTTTTTTTTTTCTTTTCTTTTCATTCTATTCTATTCCATTCCATTCTATTCTATTTCATATTCCAGTGGTGGCGAATTTTTTTCGCCTCGGGTGCCAAAAGCACGTGTGGGTGCGCCATAATGTAATCCCTCCCCCGCTGTGCCACCTGTGCATGTGAGTGTGACCCCCTCCCGCTGCCCTGAGCATGCACACACGCACATCTTTCTTGGAGCCTGGGGAGGGTGAAAACGGCCTCCCCCCGCCCTGCAGAGGCCCTCTGGAGGCTGGAAACAGCCCATTTTCTGACTTCTGGTGGGCCTGGTAGATCCGTTCTTCACCCTCCCCAGGATCCAGCTTTCTTGGAGCCTGGGGAGGGCAAAAAACGACCCAATGGCCCAACTGGAAGTTCAGGAACGAACTTCCGGTTGGCCTGTTGGGCCTGTTTTTTGCCCTCCCCAGGCTCTGGAGGCTTTTCTGAAGCTTGGGGAGGGTGAAAACAGCCTCCACCGGCCCTCTGGAAGGCTGAAAAATTAGCTGAGGTCTGTCATGCCAGCTAATACTATGGCACACATGCCATAGGTTCACCATCAGAGTTCTATTCTATTCTATTCTATTAGGATGCCAGGTTCACTTAACAATTGTGTTACTACCTTTAACAACTGCAGGGATTCACTAAAGAACGGGGGCAAAAAAGGTTATAAAATAGGGCAAAACTCACCTACCAGCATAAATTTCGGGCTCAGTTGTGGTTATAAGTTAAGGGCCACCTGTTTATCCATCGGCCAAAGACCTCCTTTTTTAAAAAAAAAAGCCTTCTTTGCAACTATGTTTATGACTTATCATCCATTTTCTCTTTTTCCACAGAGTTCTGCTCAGTCGTTGTCAGGAAAAGGTTATTCGGTAAGTCATTTTGCGCGTCTTCTACGTTGCTTGTGTTGTTCCTTGACTGGAAAAAGAGTTGAGCCATCTGTTGCGTTTTCTCGGGCCCTGACGCGAAGCAGCGTCCTAAAAATAGGTTTGGGAAGATAAATTCTCCCACTCATGTTTATTACACCTCTCTTCCGAGGAGCGAATGTGCAACATGCTCTCTAAACGAGGGAATACGGACAAGAAAATGGGGTTGTTGTTTTTTGCGCCTTCCCACTCTGAAGTTGTCTCGTTTAATATATGTATGTTTTCTAAGCGTTGATCCCCAGCTCACAGATGGATGTAATATTATAGGATTCTTTGGATTTGAAGAAAGCAAACTCTTCTGTACTAATAGACATATTGGGTGCTTCGGTAGCACATTGTAGATCATTACCTTATTTTAACAACCCCATAATCCCTTGCAGGGTGGAGTCTGGGCAACTGAATTGAGCTAGCATAGTGTTTACTGGCCGGATGCCTTTCTTGTCACCAATGCGGAGTTTTGTTCAGCAGATATATTCCCACAGTGCCCAGAGAAAGAGAGAAATCTGCCTCTACCTAGGATCAAACTCACAGCCTCCTGATTATAAAGCANTCACTGCCTTATGGACGTTGACATTTACGAAGATTAAGTCCAAGTCCAAGATTCGATCTGCCAAGCTGCTGGCAGCCAGCGATCAGCAGAAGTAGCCTGCAGTTCTGCACTCTACTAACCACTGCACCACCACAGCTCATTTTCAAATGAATTCTCCTTCCCTGTCCCAACCCAAAACCATCACCCCTGTATCTATTCGCTTGTGCACAAAGGTGTCTTTGAGATCTGCAGCTTCCAAATCCATTTAGGATTTTGGGGCTTCTGATGGCATTGCCAGGCATTGCCCCCCCTGCGTTTACGGCTCCGAGCCATTTCCTTCGATGCCGTGATCACGATTGCACCTGGCCTAGACCACCATGTGTTAATTGAACCAAGCAGCACTTTTGATGACTGGTTGCTTTTTATTTATTTATTTAACAACAGCTCGGAGGGAACGGCCTACAGATTATATATAGCATCAGTTTCCCAATTAAAGTTTTACAGGAAAATGCTGTCTCTGTTTTTGTGCTCCCGGGCGTTTTTTGATTGGGTTCCCTCCAGCCGTGGGGCAGATCATCCGTGCGTGGCTGCAAAGCATCCATTTGAAACCCTGAAATATTTATGGATCTTTCCCCTTAATATTGAAATGCGATTCCAGGAGGTATCTTCCCTGTGCATATATTTTGTAATAAAATGCCTGGAAGCTGGCACTTAGCCTGTGAATGATGCTTGGTTTATTTGTTTTAAATAATAAAAGTATTTATTAGAGACGGGGAACTGGTCAGATTTGCAGACAACACCAGGCTGGCAAGAATAGCCATCACTCCAGAGCAGCGGTCACCAACTGGTGGTCCGTGAGAAAATGTTGGTGGTCCGCAGAAAAATTATTTGCATTTTTTATACTGCACTAAATCAGCGGTCCTCAAACTACGGCCCTTGGATGGATACATGCAATGAATGCTTATGTTGCTGCAGAGTCTCCCCCTTTAGTGTCTTTTTGTGCGGGTTAGAGGGGGGGCAGAGATTCCAACTTGGGATCTGCTTCAGCCTCCTGGTGAGGGGCTTTGGGCGAAGGCTTGAGGGAAGCGCCGCTGGTGGGGAAGAGCCGGAGGGCCTCGTTCCAATGGGACTGCATCATGGCCTGGAATTGGCTGACCATCTCAGCCAGCTGAGCTTCCAGGCACCTATACCTGGTCTTGTACTCCCGCAGGTCTTCCCTCTGCTTGGAAAGCCTATGCTGGTAGTCCTCAGTGAGGTGCTTCTGCTGAGTCTCCTTCTCGGTCAGATCCAGTTTGAACTGTGTTGTTTTGCCAACT